TCAATTGTCTGCTCAAGATACTCCAAACCTATTGACTGGATACCATTAGCACCAACCTGTAGTAGGAGAGAACAAACCAACTTGCAACTGAAGAGGGAATTAGGAAATCACACTGTAGATGTGTGGGGCATACATTATGGAGTTCATCAAACTCCGTCACGAAGCAAGCCCTTACTTGCAAACGTGAATGTGAAAGGAGAAAGATTGAAGAACACATTGCATTGGGAATCGAAGACAGTCAAGAGAAGAATAAGTAGCACTTTACATGAACTTGAAAAGGGAGAGGATGACAGAGTTGGATGGAGAATTCTGGTGTACAGCTTATGCTCCTCTACGTTCGTTTACAAGCGCAAATAAGTAATGTATGATTCCCTAACTGTACGACCAGTAGTTTCTCGACATACTGCAATCAACTGACTCGATGAAACAGGAAATTCGAATAATTGAGTAAATGCTTATTACATTTCATCAACCTACATATTCCAACGTGAAAGACTGCAAAATATGTTCACCGTTATCATTACTTATTTTACATCTCATCTGCTGGTAGATAGTTAACAAGTAGTAACTGAAGGCCGCTCAGACTACTCAACCAAACATTTACCGTCTTAGAAGAAATCAGCCTAGTTAACTGAGTCACAAATCAATCCCTCGAGTAATTGTATTTTGGGTTTGGATTACCAGTTACCTGTCTGAGAAACTCCTAAGTGATCTCAACATACCAAATGGACTCTTGGAACATCTAGAGATATGGAGAATCACTCCGATTTTCCTAGCATATACACACTATTGCTGGGTTACTACCTACAAACAATTACGATTAGGTGTTCGGCGAAAGCAAACTACTACTGACTCCTTAATATGAACTGGACGTAATTCCATCTGACTGGTCCCAATCACTGATTGTGCCAGTCTATAAGGAAGGACAAAAGTCCTCCTGTGACAATCACAGATGAATCAGTTTGACTAATATAGTGTCTAAAATATTGGCTTCAATAATACTAGGTCGCCTAACCAAAGCTCGTGAAGAGCAGACTAGAGAAAACCAGGCTGGTTTTCGACCTGGACGTGGCTGCATAGACCAGATATTCACTCTACGTCAAGTCCTAGAACATACATTCACACGTCCCACAATCATAGTATTTCTTGACCTTAAGGCGGCATTTGACTCCGTTGATCGTGAGGTTCTATGGCAGTGTTTGTCACTGAAAGGAGTACCGAAGAAGTATATTAACCTCATAAAGGCTCTCTACTCGAACACAACTGGACGAGTTAGAGCCTATGGCGAACTGTCATCAGAATTGATTACCTCAAGTGGTGTTCGTCAGGGCTGTCCACTCTCTCCATTCTTGTTTAACTTTGTCGTTAACATGCTTTTGGATATAACACTTTCATCATCTCAATCTCCAGGAGTTGAACTTTTACCAGGAGGCTCACTTGTTGACTTAGAATACGCCGACGACATAGTTTTATTTGGTGAAGACGCTGGCAACATGCAGTCTTCTGACCACCATAAGCAACTATGCACGTATGTTCGGGATGCGATTCTCTCCCTCGAAGTGCAAAATGTTACTTCAGGATTGGGTTGCATCGACACCTGAACTAATGATAGGGAGTGAAGGAGTTGAGCGTGTTGACTGCTTCACTTATCTTGGGAGTCTCATCAGCCCTTGTGATTTGGTGTGTGACGAAATCTCAGCACGGATACAGAAGGTTCGTTTGACTTTCGCCAACTTGCGTCATTTATGGCGTAGGCATCTGTCTAGCAACCAAAGGACGAGTTTACTGTGCAGCAGTTCGTTCCGTCCTACTTTATGCCAGCGAAACATGGCCGATAAGAGTAGAGGATATTCGTAGGCTACTAGTATCCCATCATAGGTGTCTTCGAAGCATTGCTCGTATATCCTGGGACCACCGGGTAAGTAATGTAGTTGTTAGGGAACGGGTACTAGGTAAGGATGGCAAATCGGTTGATGAAGTAGTGAAACTTCATCAGTTGAGATGGCTGGGACAAGTGTTACGTATGCCCAACCACTTACTGCCCCGACGTGCAATGTTTCATGGTGTAGGAGTAGGTTAGAAGAAAGCTAGGGGCGGCCAGACCAAAACATGGCACAAATCCATGAAGTCACTGACAACTAGACTGAGCCATGTTGGTAGGTGTAGACTACCTGGTTGGGATTCGCGAGGCGATAGCAATCGATGATTAGAGACTTCGAATGACATGGCTCAAAATCGTTTGCAATGGCGAAGGTGCATCCACTCCTTGTGTTCTACCGAATTCTAATCTTCTGAATTCTTCATGTCTCTAACTTTTTTTCTCCTTCCAAATTTATTTCACAGGATTATACTCCTTCAATAACATCTTCAAACCCTAATCTTTCGGATTACTGTTTATACTCTTACTACTTCTACCACTATGGGATTTGAATCGACAACTGAATCTCTATGCTAATGTGGTATGGCAACTCGAACTGATGTACGTACGTACGAAGTTCTACGTTGTGACTGACTGACTCTATCCAAATTCACAGAAGTCAATAAGTCTTTTGTGACAACCGTATCTGTACCACGACAAGGACAGAAAAGCACCTGCAAACCTATACTGAGCAATATAACATCAGACAATAGCACTAGCTACACATAAACAACGAACTTTCACTCTAATATTGAAAACACCCAACACCAACAAAAATCTAAAGTCAGAGTTCACGTACCCCCAAAATGGCTTCAGACTAAATATCTGTTAAGTGCTTGCTACCTGGCTTCCAAACGTTCTCCAGTTGATACCAATCGGCTTGAAAATTATCTTCAAAGCGCAAAATGAATTGAAAGTAGATACCTCATTGTGAAAATAAAATATCTAAAGAACCAGCTTACTATCTACAATTACTTATGATCGTAACTCTTTCTATGACATCATGCCTAGATAGATCATTCATTTGAATCTCAGTAAAACACAACAGTTCCCTAATAATTAGTGATTAGCTTGCAGTTATGTCTTTGGTTAAGCCCAGTCTTCACCAACTACTGATTCAGCAACGAGGTAGTGTTATTGGCCTTCATGAGCTAATTGGTTAGGAAAATTCAAGTGTTCTAGTTGGAGAGTAACTTATGTTAATTTTTTGTCTAGGAAATAGTTAGGAATCTTAGTGTCACTAATTAGATAATACAGTAGTTATGAGGGGAAAAATCGTTAGGTTGAAGGTGATCCAATGTAGAAGCAGTGGCTAAAACTAAATATAGTAACTTCAGGATACCAAATAAAATACCCTTACATCTAATAGCTCAAAGCATATTGTGAAATCACTGAGTTTTAGTATTTACAACTCAATTCCAAAGGTGGATATTTTTTATTCTACATCCACTCTCTTTATGCATTAATTTACCGGTTACTTTCCGGAAATCTGAAGCAATTAGCTATAACCTATTCACGAAATCATTTTACCAACGTTGTATGTACGATAAATTGAAAACATTTTCTCATCTGATACTGCCTTGAAAGTACTTATACCAAAAATTACTTCATAATCCACTGGAAATATTAGAGTTGTAAGTCTTTTTTTAATTAGGCCTATTACCAAAAACTCTATTCATCCTGTTATTTAATGTCTTCATTATGTATGTGTTGAGCACATAGTGATAAACAAAACACGTTCTCTGATGTCATCAATACTACTTGGACAGTCCTTCGGCAATCATTTTAAATGGTATTGACCTAATTATTTAATTGCCTGATAATAATAGACGGAAACCTAACCATTATCCAAAGAGCCAAATTTATTTGATGTCTAGTCATCATTGCCTAATAATAAACTATATGTTGTCTGATTGTTGACCATTTCCTTTTAACTATTCGTTAAACGGTTGGGAGCACTTGAAAGCCAACACTGAACTTAGGTTTGGCGTTAGTTACTACATTTTTGATGAAATCCATACATCATTGAGAAATTATTTAATAACAGTCATGAGAACGACTTACGTACAAAGTATAGAAAATATTTAGAAGATATACCATTACAAACCTGTCACTAGGCTGTAATCTAATCTATAAAAACTAGATTATATCAAGAATATTTATTAGTTTTATTACGCAAATTTAAAACGCGGTAGATTTTGTAGAAGACAGAAAAAAAACTATAATAAATGTGCCGAGGCATAATGTTGAGTAACACATGCATTTATAAATCAACGTAGTTGTATAGATGACAGTGTATAACAAATAATCATATAGATGTATATATTCTTTAAAGAGGCTTTATAATTCAGCATATACTTCCAAAATAAAACGAACAGATAAACAAGTGTACTTATGCAGGCCAAAAATCCATTATTGAAGCAAAAGATAACTGTTCAATACCGAGAATATAACATTTAGCCGAACAAACAGGAAATTAAAAGACCATATTACTGAGAAACAAGAAACACAAATTCAAGATTCTCCTGTTACAAAAAAATGATCTTATAAAAAATGTATCTTTACTGAAATAATATGAGAGGATACAATACTAAGGAGGATAGACAGTTCGACCAGGAGACATCTAAAATTAGCTACACAGAAAAGTGCATATTTCTTTTTTTATTGCACAAAAATTTCAAGTAATTCACTTCAACACAACTACACATAATGATTTATTATTCAATCCTTTCATACACATCTTGAAAATCTTACTATCTATTTATATCAGTAAATAAATGGTGAATAGCAGCTACAAAATATAAAGACGAGGAATTAACGATAGATTTATCATTAAGAGATAGAGAAGATAATAACGAAATACGCGTCTTATAATGATCGTTAAAACTAAGAACACATTATGTAAATGGTTTTTTTCAAACGTAAATGCATGAAGTACACGACGAATAACTCTCTAGCATGATAATAACACACCGACGAGTGCGCACACACATAAGAAAACAGAAAAATAGGAATAAATTAAAATACTTTTAAAAAAACGTACACAAGTAGTATGGTATATATATATATATATATATATATATATATATATATATATATATATAAATGATACATGGAAGTACATTACATCAACTCAACAAACCCAATAGTATTCTATCATCACTCAACAATGAAAATTCAAAAATAAATCCCCTCTTTTTTCTTAAACAAGTTCACAGCCTTTCTTTCTTTTACGTTTAGTATTTAAAGCAGCACGTGTAGCTGTCTCAAAAACTTTACGAACACCTTCCTTTGTTTTAGCAGAACACTCTAAATATCCATAAGCATCTGTAAATTTTAAAGGAAGAACATAATACTTATTGATATAGTATGGGGTTTTTAAAGAAACAAAGATTAATTCACAACAATTCCAAGGCAAAACTAACTGCATAACATAACACTCAGTAATTAAGTACGTATATCTACGACCAACACCATTGATGTGAGCATAAACAAAACTAGTAATTCATACCCACATTAGGATTTCGTGAGGTCAGTTATTTTAATTCGCCGTTTAATAACTGAAGATCGAGTAACTGGATCACTGACTCATGTAAACATGTCGTCGGTTGAAATAAATACGTGAATATCCCAAAATTATTTTAGCTACAACAAACTTCGAAACAATCTCAGTGGAAAGGTCGTCCAATGGGTTTAATTACTACAGGATATTCAATCAACTTGGTTCTGTCAGTAACTATGCAACCAGTCACTAGTACCATAAGAAATTAAATAATCTCTCGGCTGTCCCAGGGCATTTATGGACAAATCACCATAACCACAAACGGGTATATGTATGCGACTTTGAGTCACACTTTATTTGAAGACTTCTAATAACACTAGACTGGTTAAGACGAAGTAGATGGAACAGAATTTGAGAATTTGACCTAAAAATCCAGTATTTTTATCACTAAATCACTACTTTTGATAAAACTTTTTCCAGTGTTTATTAACAATATAGCTACTTCGCTTTAAATCTATTTCTTGATTCCCTGTCATTTTTTAAACCATGAAAAATCCATAAAATATCAAACTTTTATCAATCCAAATCTGAAGTTTTCAGACAGATATGTTGAGTATTTTCAGTAGGCTGTTCATGAGATATAAATAAAAAACCACCAAATATGTTACAGAACAGTTAAACTTATCATATCAGAACCTTTTCTAAAAGATGGAAATGATAGTGCAAACTGAATGGTAGCCTTACATTATAAACTACTACGGATATGAAACAATACATATGGGACTCTAAAACCTTAATATATTGTAATTATTACGTGTAAGCAAAATACTTCAATTTTAACCGAATGAAACTCTAAACATAAAATTTCACAAAGCATGTTAATTAAAAATAACTTACTAATACGATCACATACAAGGCGACCTTCTTCGGATTTGACTAATTCCTGACGAACTTTGGCTAATTCATGATGTGCCCGCTCATCATTACGCAGATCTTGTTTGTTACCCACAAGGATGATCGGAACATTTGGACAGAAGTGTTTTACTTCAGGATACCATTTCTCAGTGATATTATCGAGACTATCAGTGCTAATTAAGAGATGAATCAATCGATGAAAAATCAGAATATAGTTGGTGAGAGATACAACTGATGAGATCTCAACTTTCCTTATACTGAAGGGTAGTGGTAAATAAATTTGTCAAATTGAAAGTATATCCCATTTCTCTAAATACATATTTGAAATCACAACAGCCAACCATTTTTATTTATTTATTATTTATTTAAACACATAAATATTGGTACAATGAAGCACCAGATAAATATGTGCCTCACAAATCTCATTCGATTTGTGTGAGGGCTGTGATACTGCCCAGGTGCCCAGACTGAAGCAGGTGGTTTTCTCAGGGGGCCACACCCGGAGCCTTTGACCTGAATGTCTGATCCACAAGGCAGTGGAGCAACCAACCATTAACTATTACTAAACACTGCACGGATTCAAAAACCTCGTTTGGCTTTTGCCAACTTACGTGACCTATGGCGAAGGTGAGATATCCGTCTATCAATAAAAGGAAGAGCACACTGAGCGGCAGTTCGTTCTGTTCTACTTTACGGCTGTGGAGCGTGACTAATAAGGGTATAAGCTACCCGTAAGTTACTAATATTGGATTACACATGTCTTAGAAATACTGTTCGTATCTGCTGGGATCACCAAGTAAGTAATAGTGAGGTTAGACACATGGTATTAGGGAATGGTGGTAAATCAGTTGATGACGTTGTGAATCTTCATAGACTGAGATGGTTGGGCCACATATTACGAATGCTAAACCACCGATATAGTACAAGAAGAAAGACATGAAGCAATTTCAATCTCACGGTTTAAGGAAAAACAAAGAGCGTATACGCCTATGTCATTGCAACCGATTCTGAGCCTTGTCATCCAGAGTTTCCAGCCATTGGTTGCGATAGTTACGCGAACCACAATAAAGTAGTCTTCATCTGCCAACATGGCTCAGATCAGAAGTTAGTGACTTCAAGGATTGATGCCGCGTTTTGGTTTGGCTGCCTCTAACTTTCTTCCAGCCGTCTCCAACGCTAGTCAGCATTGTGCATCGTGGTAATCGATAGTTGAGCATTCGTAATATGTGGCCCAACCATCTCAGTCTATGAAGATTCACAACGTCATCAACTGATTTACCACCATTCCCTAATACCATGTGTCTAACCTCACTATTACTTACTTGGTGATCCCAGCAGATACGAACAGTATTTCTAAGACATGTGTAATCCAATACTAGTAACTTACGGGTAGCTTATACCCTTATTAGTCACGCTCCACAGCCGTAAAGTAGAACAGAACGAACTGCCGCTCAGTGTGCTCTTCCTTTTATTGATAGACGGATATCTCACCTTCGCCATAGGTCACGTAAGTTGGCAAAAGCCAAACGAGGTTTTTGAATCCGTGCAGAGATTTCGTCAGGCACCAACCCATCAAAGCTTATCAGACTTCCAAATGAGGTTGTCGACGCATTCGACTACTTCACTCCGTATCTTTAATTCAGGTGTTGACTCAGGTCAGTTCTGAAGAGGCAATTTGCATTTAGGCGGGGGGGGGGAAACACATCACAAACATCCTGGCATTATTGCTGAGTGCTACCAAGATACTCTGAGTTTTATCAGTGTCTTCACCGAACAGGGCTATGTCATTTGCGAATTCTAAGTCAATGGTGGACAGCCTTGCCGGACACCATTTGAGGTTATAAAATCAGATGACAGAAAAGGTGAGTATGAAGGAACATTGAAACACAAAATCTGGAAGATGAAAAGCAAATGCATCAGGGCTATTATGGCAGGCTTCAAACTGCATCTGTAACCACTGACCGGTGTTTACCTACTGGTTTTGGTGGTTTTATCCTCTGAGCGCAAACTTCAAGTTTGTGCTGATGCCTTTTAGAAGAATGGTGAAAATTCCACGACCGAACCATCCAGCTCAGAGAAAAAACAACCAAAACTATCCACCTTTACTTACCGGTTTTATTCACACAGTATGCACCTAACCATACAACCCGACACAACAGTCTATGACTTCATGGACTGACACCATGTCTTGATCTAGCCACCCCTAGCAGTAGGACCTGGAAGGTTGGTTTCAGAGGTCCCTGAATATGGAGGTTGGCTTTAAGTCAAACCTACAGAGATATTAGCTAGAGTGTAGTAGCTGGACATCAACCTGAGCTTGGTCGCTAATCGTGTTTATAAAGAAACAAAACTCTGCGAGGGACTACTTCGATTAGTAGTTTCAAACACTAGACTCAGTAATTGATTGCAAATAATAACGAATTTGCGAGACTAGACATCTTTGTGAGGCAAAATGATATACATTGTTATCTAGATAGCAGTTAGTGAAATAAGGTGACGAATACAAAGCAGATTGGCGTCACATGATATAAGACTACTGCTTTCAGCGTGTTGCTAGGCACAAAATCAAGCACCTCAGATAAACAGGAAATAAAACAAGGCACATGTTGAGTCCTATATGATTTTGCAATAAATTTCAAAGAGCGTTATGAATCAAATAAATCAATAAAGCAATATGATTCACAGTCACTTTCAATTAAGGCCAACTAACGTATATATGGACAAAACTGTTAACCAACCTGTCTATTGAAAAACACATTAATATGACATCAGTGTCGGGATATGACAAAGGTCGAAGTCTATCGTAGTCTTCTTGACCCGCGGTATCCCAAAGCGCCAACTCTACTTGCTTCCCATCAACTTCAATATCAGCGACATAGTTTTCAAAGACAGTTGGCACGTACACTTCTGGAAACTGATCTTTGCTGAAGACGATGAGCAGACACGTCTTTCCACAAGCTCCATCTCCGACAATAACCAGTTTCTTACGTATAGCAGCCATACCCCCACCGAGATTCAAAAGGTGCAGTTCGGAGTGAGCGCCGAAACAAAGGCTGACCTACCGTTGGTGCAAGCCAAGAAATGGACCAAACTGCAAGTCGTAGTTAGATAACGTCAACTTATCTTAGTAACATAATAGAACTATTCCTTTTTATTCATTTCCATCTGGCAAAGCAACATGTGAACACGACGAAAGTGATATATCAGCTAAGAAAGAAAACTGAAACGCGCTCTATTTAAAAAAAGCAGTGATGTTTTTCCTCGCTAACTTAATTTTGTTGTTTCGATTGTTTATCACGCATCAAGACTACTGTTTTCGCTTTAGATAAATTTATCTCAGCTAGAGTAGTCGCCAAGATTATCATTCTTCAATGAAAGTAATTTATCATAGTTACTTTTGAATTCATCAGTTGTTTGCATTTGTTTGCAATTTTGGTTCTAACAACTTACAGTTCTTCACTTTTTCTGGTCACTAATTTGTTTAGTTTCTGGGTATTGTTCATGTTTAGCCTCTTTTCGAAAACCTCAGAGTGATAACTGGATAATGCAAAAAAGCGATTGCCAACGCACAGGCTGTCGATACCATGCAGAAAGTACCATGCAGCGCGATGAATGAAAAGAATGGTAGCGCGAGGTTTGCACGAATCTAACGCCTTCAGCTTTCGAACGACTTAGTAAAAATAGCTGTGTGTGGTTGTGTCAGCAATGCGGCTTGGAAAATAACAGCTTGCTATCCGAAGCTATCTGAAGCCAATGGTGGATGCTGCTAAAATGAGTATTAGCAAGCGTAATCGAGACACATCAAGTGGTACTCGCCCAGTCGATACACCAATTGGTGTGAATTCACCTCAATTAAGCTCAGAGTCGATTGACTTACATGGACCAACAGAGGAAGGACGGTCTATAAAGAAGTCTGTTAGAAATACAAGCCCAAGGAAGGAAGTTTCATTTGCCCTCCGCTCTTAAAATGGAACCTAGAGGGAAAATCCTAGCAAACCGAACTGTGAGGTTAGGCACGTTCTCATCAGGAAAAACAAACAGACTACCCAAGCCATGGACAGTCGTCCAGGATCCCACAGTGTGTGTAACGCCGATGTGATTGCTACTCCAGTGAAAGTTGATGAATGGATACAGACCAAAAATAAGAAACTACCCGAGGTTGCTAAAGAAAAACCAGTCCCGCAAACAGTAGCTGGTAAATTGAAAACTGATCACAGGGACAGGTCATTTGTCTTCCATGGAGTCAAGAAGAGTGAGAGTTTAGAACCCAGAATTCTTTTTGAGCATGACATTAGGAAGATAAGAGAGCTACCAAACTAGTTAATGCCTCAGCGTATCTCGGGAGTTACCTTGCCAAAGGTTTGTAGACCAGGCTGTCCAAAATAGTGTTTGAATCTCCAAATGAGAGGGGCTTGATATTACTGACTAAATATAAACTAAAGGGGTCAGGAGTCTTTGTCCATAAGGACTTGTCTCTCGCAACGATGTAAAAGGTAAGAAACAGGAAAAACCAAACTGAGGTTAGATGTTGGCGAGAAAGACCTTAAAATTGCCAATTTTTGAGTGGTAAGGCTCCAACAGAAAATAATACCGAAGCCACAGTACAAAGCCATTTGGATGATCTGCGGATCTCTTGCACAAGTGCCCGGAGCCTGGTTAACAAGGGATCGGAGTTAGGTGTACAGATGGACCCTACCAAGCCGTATGAAATCGAAGTCATAGAAACTTGGTTGACACAGTACGCAAATAACAGGGGACTTGGTTTTCAAAGTCTCACATTAGTAAACAACGATAGAACCCTGAAGCTAAAAAGAGAGGGAGTAGCTCACTTCATTTGAAATACCATTCTATTTACAGTTGTTGATAATATATCCCATGAAAGCGGGACATGCGAATAAGTTAGTTGCCACTTAAAATGCAAAGAACAAGAGTTGTTGATTGGCTTAATCTACTGCAGTCCAAACTGTGAGACGAATGAGGTGTTGCTAGACAATTTAACACTTTGTCACCAAGTGGTAGATGCTTAATCCCAGAGGACTTTGATGCACCTACGGTAGACCGGAAGAATCTGAGAAATTGGTTGTCAGAGAAGACTTTCGAATGAAATCCAGTAGAATCACTTAGAACATGTTCTATTGTGCAACATGTGAAAGATGTAGCTAGGTACGACTAGGATAGGAATTATCCTTACTAGGTTCCATATTGGTCCATTATAAGGATAACATCACGAATATCCATTACATGCCACCCCTGTATAAAAGCGATCGTGCAGTTCTAGACGTTTATTTCAATATGACCGAACATCTATCTGCCCAGACCAGGTCAAACCCATAGAAAGCAAATATACAGGAAGTTGAACAATCAGAATCCTCAGTAGGTTAACCATTAGAACTAGAGTCCCCATCGTAATGGCCTGAGATGTATTCAGAAATTCGTACATAAACGTCACTGCACCGCACAACCCTTGGACTACACCAACGGGTCCGAGAAACTCCTCACTGTGGTTCAACGAAGAGGTTCTCACTCCAATCCGTAAGACGTGAAGAATGTGGGAGAGATTTAGATCACTGAGTGCTGATGAGACAAAATCTCAATATCGAGAATCTCAATATATTTGTGTTTCCGCCCTTCATGAGTCTAGGGGGTTGTGCAGAGAAAAACTTGTTGAGGGATCTGTAATATACCCTAAACGATTATACTCGTACATAAACCAGAGGACTAAGAGAAGAGGATATATTCCATTATTATAAGGAGACAACATTAATTCATCATTAGTGGAGAACGAATGTGGTAAATCTCAGGTATTATCAAACTACTTTAGCGATGTACTTACTGTAGAGTCATCTTCCTCTTCAGTTCATACAAATCCCTCACATTTGCACTAGACGCCGTAGCCAGTAAAGAACTCAATGTCTTTTGTCTGACAAATGAGCTTGATATAAGCAAATCCCCGGGACCCGATGAGCTGCATCCTAGGTTATTGAGGGAACTAGCAAATCCCGTCACAAATCCCTCAAGCATATGTTTCAATCTGTCTGTAACCCAGGGTTGATAAACAAAAGACTGTACGAATGCTATATTAAGTCTTGTCTTCAAAACAGGTACGAAACATAAGCCACAGAACTATTGACCTGTAGGCCTAACTAGCGTGGTTGTTAAAATTCTGGTAAAGATCATTCGGAAGGAGTAGTTCAGGTATCTCGATCAAAACAGGATACATTCTGAAAAGCAGCATGACTTTGTAACATGCTATTCCAATCTCAAACTTATCAGAGGCTCGTGAAAGTTAGTGCGCCCTTAAAGACCAAAAGTTAACTAAAGGAGTAGCCGGCATTTACTTCAGCAAAGCTTTTGACAAAGTTCATCACAACCGACTGTTGTCTAAGTTAACTAATATCGGGATCGGAGACAACTTATTAAAGTGAATGAAGGACTTACCAGTTGAGCGTCAATATATATGGCGGGTGAACCTAAAGCTGTCTAGCTAATAAGCTGTGCTAAACGAAGTGCCTCGGGGTACGGTTTGGAGACCCGTGTTATTCCTCCCGTATGAGAATGACCTTCTTAGCTTTCTTTCATCATCGGTCTCTTATATACCGATGGTGTTAGGATATGGAGGGAGATAAGTAATGGTGATAGTTTGGGGCTTCAAAACGAACTGGCAGAATTATCTGACCGGTATAGAATTTAGCAGTTGTCGATAAATGCTTCTAAATACATTATGAATGCATATTGGTCACAGATACGTACACGGTTCCAGATACCTATGGTCTATATGTAGAACAATTAAAGATATCGAAACAGTTTCGACTCCGCATATAGTAATGCATATTGGTCACTAAGGTACAGTTACATACGTGGTGAATACCATTGGGTCCCTGTCGTCCATACACACAGTGACTTAGGAGTCATCGTTAGCCAAGACCTAAAACCTGCTGCACACTGCCATAAGATCCCCAACACAGGTTTTAGAACCCTCTGTTCATTACGTAGGGCTTCTAGTCATGTCAATGCTAGAACATTTTAGACTATGTATACAGTATTCGTTCGCCCTAAACTGAAGCACTGCACATCGAACGAATGTTAGGCGACTAGCATTCAAGCCAGAGGAAGGTATATATGCGTAGACTCACATTTGATCAAACATACGTGTCAATAGAGACGTGATAGTGAAATAATGCAAAACTATACACAAACTGTTACTGTTACAACAACACTTTCTGTAAAATGGAATAATTAGGAGTACTGACAAAATTAGCCATAAGCAAAACTAATAAAAGGAGCGATGCTGAAAAATCAGCTGTAAATTGCTTTTAAAAGCACAAGAATGACCCAAAAATTATTGAAAAATAACCACAACAATCCGAATCCAAATATACTGACAGATAATTTTGAATAAATTGAGCATTGGGTAGATTGTTTTAAATAAATTATGTATTTGTAATATCCCAATGAGTAGAAAAATTAGATTTTCTGACGTTTCGTGACTCAGTGTAAGCCACTCCTTCAGAAAATAAATAACCAAATTAACATTAATCCAAGTTTAAATAGTACAACGGAACAATCAAAGAATATTAGGTGATCAATCAAAAACAGGTCTGAATAAATCACTGTCACGTCATTTCATTTCGGTCAAGGTGATTCATAAGCGACATGGATGTAATTTTGTGTGTATTTATGCACTGTTAATAATGAAAACTGTGTGACCTTTATAATTACAAAGGATATAATTTGATTTGTAATGTAATGGTGTGAAATTGTAAATAATGTCAGACTGAGTGACCGGATAGATGGTCCAAGTAGGCTGTATGGTAAGGCCTTCCTTTCTATTGAGAGCTGTGGGATTAAGCATTATATGGAAAGCTTCAGCTACTCTTCTTTCTTTGTAGTTGGAAAAACCTTTCTGTAGTATTTTGATATTTTCGAAATCAATTTGATGACTGTTGAAAATGGCGTGAACTGCTATTGAGGATTTAATCTGAAGTCTACTTAATTCTTCAGGATTATTAGGAGGTTTCTTTGTGTACCTGATATGTTCTTTGGCGCGAGTTAAGATTTCGCGAGATGACTCTCCAATATAGAAGGCATCACAATCGACACAACCTAATTTGTAGACGCAGTTCTACTCATTGAGATATTACAAATATATAATACTGACAGATAATTCGGTTTCTAAACTCATTTCATGACACCATCGTTCATCCTACACACCAAATATCGGACAATACAGAGAAGCGAACTTCACATTCTGCCACTCAATCCCTGAATTGATCTTAGAGAATGCTCCACCCAATCGAAGTGAAATGACACTTTCTTCACCGATCAAACGTCACAATGTCAGTAACGATTTGCTGAAGACTAAGATTCAATTGGTTGGCCGACAAATGGACAACTTCACAAACGTATAAATTCTAGTCCACAACTCACTGGAACATCACAAATCACTTAACATACAAATGCAAAGAACATTGGTGAGGCATTCATTCATCTAACCAACCAAAACTCTCACTTTCTTTCTCTCTCTCTCTCTCTTTCACACACAGGTGGCAGTATTGACTTTCGTCTTCGCTGTGAACTATCTGGATGTGGTGCACTGTGATGGAGGTGAGCTTCAAACCAAAGGACACGGACCACTTTCACTCACTCATCCATCAATCCATTCAATCGTTCATTTATTCAATTGGTCATTCACCAGTCCATTCAATCATTCATCCCTCAATCAGTCAATCCATCACTCCGATGATCCATTTATTCATTCACTCACTCACTCACTCACTCACTCACTCACTCACTTACTCGCTGACTCACTCACTCTGTATGTTGTTCCGACACCAGTGCAGTCGATCACAGTCCACTCACACAATTCAAACCATGTGAGTGGAAGCGTCGAGCCCCAAAGTATTTCGCAGCTGACAAACGTATGAACATTCTTTCACTCACCTCAATGCTCACGTTCACCTGTCATTATTCACAACCAAGTCAGTCATTCAGTCAATCAGTTATGCAATTATTCAGTTAGGCAGTTAGGCAGTTAGGTAGTGGTACTCATCAAGTCAGTGGTCGATTTGCACACACCTATTGGAGAGGCGAACAGAATGAGATTGCTGCATTCGAACTTAACTTAAACCGACAACACACTGTTTCGTTATTGTTTTTCAATGCAGATGGCGCACCCTCAGCTCCAGTCGGATCACCTGATCAGCAACCACCTGCACCAGCTGCACCGGATACACCGACAGCTCCAGGAGCACCTGCAGCACCAGACGCACCACCACCAGCTTCAGCAACACCAGGTCAGTTCATTCAATATTCAATCACTACTCACATGTCTCACTTCATTTATGCTGTTCATTGTTCAAACACTGTTTCTTTAATCCTCTCCATCACTCTCACATTTCACCATCACCACCAATCTTCACAGACATTGCTCATTGTTTGAAAACACGATGCTTTGTGAATCGAACAGTCGTCCATTCACATAGATAATATTTCTCATCCACTTCCACTCGATACGGTGTGTCTGTAGTCAATGCTGAACGTTTCTTCAAACGAGTTGGTGTGCATTGAATTTTGTGTGGGAATGATTTCCTACTGTGCATCACTTGAATAGTGTGCTTCCGTGTTCACACTGTGAACAGTACACATGTACTCTTGTTTTATTCCACAGATTCGCCTGCCACCACCAAGTCAACTGGACGTCCGAAACCATCGAGGAGAGAAACAAGAACAGCCCACCCACCCAGATCACCACCACGTGCTCGTAGTAAGTCACTACACCAACTACTTCTATTCCTTATGTTCGTTTATTTCAATAATCTTGACCAGTACCAAACATCGGTCATTCCTCCGAACACAAACACACACACATTCGCCAACACATTCACACACTCCACAGTCAAATTACATACTCAAACACTCAATCACTCATTCGCTCACTCACTCTTACAACAACATCAATTCTCACACTCACTCGTTGAATGTCATCACGCATTTGTTCCATATCACATAATCAAACATTCCCTTACTCACTCACTCACTCCTCCACAAGTGTCATGTGATCTACAGAGTTTCATATTGATCAACAACCACTGTTCCACTTGTTTTCAGGTCCTCACGCTCCAACACATCCAAGGAAATACCAACGTCCACCACAAGGTAAGTCTGTCAACAAACATTCATCACTCTCCACTCTCACACCAAACATCTGATAACTGGTTGACCGATTCACTGTGTTCAGCACTCACGTGTGTGTGTGTGTGAGTGAGTGAGTGAGTAAGTGTGCATGTTCACTGACTGCTACCACTCGTGCAGCTTGCTGTCCTATGTGACGATCAGTGTGGTGTTCATTCGTGTTAGGACCTTGTCTCCAGTCTCTGTGTGATGCTGTGCATTGGAGAGTATCAGCTGGTCGTTCATCTCATCACTTTCAAACACTCTCGTTTGAAACACTTCACCAATCGCTCATTCAGTCATTCATCCATCCATCCATTCGTTCATTCGATCGATAGGTCAGTCGGTCAGTCAGTCAGTCAGTGATTCAACCGACTAACTAGTGTGTTCACTCATCTATATTTGCATACTTCTACATACAGTCAGTATGTCAGTCAAATCAACTCCTCTTCAACCTTCTCACCATGTTTGTGTTTATTTCATTTGCCTTTTAGATGGTAGAAAATCGATGCAAATTCTGAGGTGAACGCATCCAGTGTGCTCAATGACAGTTCCTTCACTTTTACATATGTATCCAATGACAACTGAATAAAATGTTAGGCCTTGAACCTTGTTTTTTTGCGTTAGCTGGCCCCTTTGCTTGGCTGTCCATATGAATGTTGCTTCAAAGAAAACTGTATGCCACTTTCTAATGTATTCCATTGTCTACTCTTCATATCACCGTAATATTGGCGTCTATCATCTGTTTACTCATTTTGTCTGAATGCCACTATCATGTTTATATCAATGTTTCTGGCTGCACTTTACACATCGATTGATTTAGAATTTCTTATTCCTCCTGCGCAAAACTAATCGCGTGCTCGCTATTATTTTCGCTTTTCCAATTATTTAAAACACTGCTGATTTATAAGCAAAGATGGATAGTGGCCACTAGTGGAATCCAAGACGCGCGTTTCGTTCTATCTGGGACTGGTCAGCTGGATGTACCTGCATCTCAGATTTGATGTTCACTCCGGGACTCGAACCCAGTACCTTTCACTCCAAACATCATCGCTTATCCACTTAGCTACTGCGTCCTGATAGCCACTTGCTTGTGCAATGGGGTGAAGTTTAAATTCACTTGGTATTGTTTGTTTGAATCTTCCCATTTATGTTTAGGACTGCAACTGTCCTGGATTCCACTGCTAGCCACTATCCATCTTTGCTTCTAACTGGAATAGTTCATTGAGCTCAATGAATTGTAACAACTCGAAGTTTATAAGACACAAAACATCTATTCGATAAGTAAATGACATATGGTTTGCTGAAAGATTTTATTGACTTCTTAATTGTAAATAATAATTTTATCAGCTATTCATAAGTCTAAAATGTTCCATTTTAATAATTGTACTCTATTACCTATTATTAATTATAATTTACTCCATGAATATTCAACAATAAGTTTGTAATTAAGTAGTACGTTGTTTACTACTAATTCTCGAAACCATATTTTAAACATTATCAATATATTATCTGAATTCAGTCAATATATATCCTTCTCAAATGATCAAAAGTTATTTAGCATATTGTAGATCATCAAACAATTGTAGAATTCCATATATCACTATTACAATCTTACTCTTACTTCTGCAGTAGAACATATCCATTTGATTAGCAAACTACTTTTATTCTCTCCTGTTGTCACTGTGTTTAGTTGTCATACTGTTGTAGCATACGGTAACAACTGTAATGTCTGACAGCTGTATTGAGTTATACAGGTCCTAATCTCTGTGAGATAATCAATAACCTTAAGATAAAACAAATACTTTTTTTCATTTTTGCTAACCAACAATAAATCGATGTTCAATGCTTCTTACAAATCATCAAATTCATAAAAATAAAATTACAATATCAGTTCACTTAGGCTTATTGTTAAACTTGATCAACATTGGAAACTAGAAGGAAGATATAAGACATGTTGTTAATTAATTAGTGACTAGCGTAAAGGCATCACTCGTTAGTAACTCACATGTCAGATAAAAAGATATGAAAAAAGAAGTGAAATTTTACTCCATCATTTAAAAAACGCTTCAACCTTTTAATGATATCCTTCTGTTTAACTTCTCTTTGTTATTAACAGTCATTTTGTTAGTATGATTCTTAATTGTCGCATCGTCTAGCCCAAATTGTTGGTGACATTGTTTATAATGACTGAAAACAATCCATGCGAAGTTCTAACTTAGATTTCTTATTTATTAGTCGCAATGAGATCATGAATGCTTATGCTCCGGAGGAAATCCGAACCCAAGTCAGCAGATATCCTTAACTGGTAGTTTTATTAATGAAATTTTTAGTGTCGCTCAAAAAAAGACAAGAGCTTCAAAAGGTTTGAAAAACTATGTGAACTAACTGATAGCCATCAAGTAACAATGTTACCTATCCTGGCAAAAACTACCACTCAAAAGTACCACTATCGTTAATTTAGCTTTCATGCTGTATTACACTAAGTAGAAAACCATTTCAATCATTAGCTAATCACTGACACTAATTATGAAATCACAACACTAAATATTCATTTAATGCGAGTAATCTTGTCGTAAAGATTATTAGATTTCGTAATTACACTACTGACAAATTCGACAGTAGCTGGTTGAAAACCGTATAATGTCACCTTTCAACTTTTCACATGTGATAACTATCAGACTTCTTATTATATGGCAGGTTTTATAAATATCAATTCTGAGATGTCGATTGTATTCCGTGCTTCCCCTCAGATGTCGAGGTCTTCACCATCCAGTCGGCCACCAGAAGAAAGAGGAAAGGAGAGAATAAGTAACCTTGCCTGACTCCGGTCCTCACCTGAAATGCGTCTGCCAGCTGTCCTTAATGCACCACTTTGCAGTGTAGTCCGTCATCTGAATTTCTTATGATATTGACTATCTTCTCAGGTACACCATAGTGTCAAAAAAGTTTCCACAAAGTCCTCCTATTCACACTTTCAGACGCCTTCCCAAAGTCAAGGAAGTTGATGTACACTGACGAGTTTCACTCAATTGATTGTTCAAAAATGACCCGTAGTATCACGATTTAGTCTGTGTACTGGTTATCACAGCCTTCAGGAGCAAACGTCGTCTTGATTTTCCCCAATTTCATTACATTCATCCATGAATTTATTTGATCCTCAATCATCCAGTCTATTGGAGATATTAAACATTGGCTTAATCCAATCAGCCAATGAATATCACTGAATTCTTGGCGTATAGTTATAGTTGTTTAGTAATGAATACACTGACTTTAGTGTGAGTTTGAACAAATTATTTGGCTGTTTGGACTTGATAGCAAAGTGGATAATTCATTGAATATTTGAAGAGAAAGGTACTAGGTTCTAGTTCTGGTATAAACATCAGCACGAGTGTAGATTCATTCAGATGAAAAGTGTCAAACAGGATGAGACGCGTCTTTTAGACTCTATCAATATTCACTATCAAACTTTGCTTAGAACTGCTTGTGACTGGATAATATCATTGAGGCAGTCCACTCGAAATACACGTGTGCTAAAATAGACTGACCACTTGTTATGTTTTTGACCTAGACTGTAGCCAATTGTTATGACTTGATCAAGGTCGTCGCTGATTCGTTATGACCTTACGAATTTAACAAGGACGTAATCCGCGTAAATTATCCACCAATAGAATACGCCTTCTACGACCTTCACACTGTGACAATGACGTTCGATTAATATGAGTAATCTAGCGTCCTTATTGGTCCTTATCCGCCTAATCCGTCCACTTGAGTCCAAAACACCAATAGCAGTTGCTGTAATGCGAATCGTTTATTTCAAGAATACTTTATCTATATACCAGACAGGCAGACCACACCACACCATAAAATAGAAAATAATATTTGTACAAAACCAGGCCAAAATGAGGCTGTAAGCGTGGGAGACAATAATCAATAAAACTGAGCATAACATAGGGACAGTAAATCATATAGTAATAATCAATAGGTTAAAATAAAGCTTAGATAATCTAGTTACCGAATAGTTATACAATAAGAATGATAGTCCAATAGTAGGTCCTGCAAGTTACCCGTACTTATGTCTTCGCTACTACATAACACCACTTATAGACTTTATATCAGTGATCGTAAGGTTCAAACATCACTCACAGATTATTGTTTGAATTATCTAAAATTATTTTTTACATATCATGGATATTAGTTAAATAACTAATGAGAAACAAGGAACACTTGATGGCTGTTTCGTTCTACCACAAAACTCCTCAGTAATATGATACCATATCAAATTCAAAACCAATAGGTCTTAAACTTATAATCATTTTTTGGACAAGCAAGTTGGCATCGATCGATCCACGCTTGCAATTCCAGTCAGGCAACAATATTGTGTAACTGTCCCACACCAAGATTTTAGTAGATGTCGATGATGTCAACAATTTTTACGTCGAACAATCGCATCAAATTTCTCATCCTTATGTATACGTAGGTAGATAAACAGATGAAATGATTTGTTCAAGAATTTTCTCTTGGATTATATCCATCATGGTATTCTAAGAGAGAGAAAGAGTGTGTGTGAGTCAAAACATAAAAGCAGAACCA